CCGCCCTTAAAATCCTTCAAAAGCTTCCACTCACCTCTAGGAAAAACTTCAAGCTCCTTAATCTGGAGAGGTGCATACAGTGTTAACTCTATGTGTTTTCCCAGTCTCTTCACTTGCTGTTCTTGGCTTTACCCTCTGTCTACTCAAATAGCTCACAGGCTTTTCTGTATATGAGTCAGACTGCCATGAAAAGATACCAAAGACTTACTTGGTGGCCTGAGCAACACTAGAAGCTAGAATTCTAAGCTTAATGTGCTGACAGATTTGGTTTCTCTTGAAGCCCCTCTCCCTTAACTTGCAGATGGCATCCTCTTTACTGTGACATCTTGTGGTGCTTTCTCTACATGTGTGCATCCCTGGTGTCTCTCTGCATGTTCAAATCTCCTCTCCTTAAAGGACCCCAGTCAAACTGTGGGCCACACTGACAGATTCACTTTTCTCTCCATCTTCAGGCCCTGTTTTTCAAATATAGCTCCGTTCTCAGGTACTAGGTGCTAGGGCTTCACCACAGAAGTGTGGAGCATGCAGTTTCACCCGTAACTCCTGCCATCTCTCTAGCCAGTTGCCCCTCCTTACCTCAGTGCCGTTTCTCATGTTTCTCTGTTTAGAATGCCTTTTCCTTGCTGCTTAATTGCATATAATTACCACTCAGCAGATACTATTGCCTTCCAAAACCTTTTCAATTCCCACCCTAAGATCAGCTGGTGTCTCTCCTCTGTTCCTTAGAGCCTCTTTTGATGCTTCCATCTGTGATTTTACCACATTATTTGGTGATTATATTTCAGATAAGCCGTATTAAATGGACAATGTCGCATCATTTCTGACCTTCAAAAGCCAGTTTTATATGTTCCACATACCCATCTTTCTTTTCTGACCCATCAACTTTTGGTACCTCAGGATTATGTCTTATTTGTTTCTGTATACCTCAGTGCTGGGCACTGAATGGGTACTCCATACATGTTGAAGTACAGAACACTGTAGATATGATCTCTGTTCTAGAGAGAGAGCCTTTATAAATCATTTGAAGAGCTGAATGTAGATTAAAAGAGATGATATTAAATGCTCAGCTGTGTCCTCAGATTCTAGGAACTGAGAGTTCTGCACTGGAAGGCCTAGATGCAGCCATGGGGCACATGCAGATTTTGAGGAAATGAGGAGAAAGGATAGCATTGAAAATGGTGAAGAGGGGTGGAGGTGGAGGGGAATCCCAGAGCAAAGCCTAGCAGCAGCAAACTAAATTGGTATGGAATGGACACTGCTATGAAGATGGCTTGCTGGAGAGGATAATGCTGTAAGGAATCTGGGCAGCTGCAAGAGGCCTGGTGAGGAAAGCCTAAACAGTGGAGTTCTTTAAATGCCAAAACCAAGAGTTTGCCTGTGACAGTTCTAGTAATTGGGGGGCTGTAAGTTCCAAGGATGGCAGATTGAAAATGGACCTTTGGGATAACATATGATCAAAGAGACAAAGTCAGAGGCCAGATGGGGTTAGGTGACTGTTTCAGGAACGAAGGTAGAGCTCACTAGAGCTTCATCAGCCTAAGGCTGTGACTGAGTCGCTCACTTGACACTCTTCAGAACAGACTGAAATGTCAACCCTTCTCCCAAGAAGCCTGGAGTAATATGATGTCCCTGATCTCACATAATGATTGACCCATTAAAGGTAGTAGAATTCACAAGCTTCTTTAAGTTTGTTGGGACTTTGAAGAGGGTAAAAGGTAATAGCTGCCATTCTTCCTTGGCCAAGATGTGGATGATCCGGTCCCATTTTAGAGCACTATGATCTGAGAACAGAGGCTTGAGCTGTGCTCCAGAGCTTGTCAAGTCTTTGGGTCTCAACCCAGTATAGTGGCAAAGGGTTCTTCAGAGAGGCCTAGAGGCCAGATTTCCTGGGCATGAATCTTAACGCTGGTGTCTGCTCTGTGGCATTGTGAGGGCTGCTCACCACTGAGCTTCAGTCTCTATAGCTGTATAACAGGGTTAACAGCAGTGTAGATTCTACCTTAGAGGTGAAGAAATGCAATAAATGCATACAAGTCATGTAGATTAACTAGAGTCCTAGGGAGCTGCCATTCGTGTAGTTGTGAAAGAATGGCGGCAGTTTCTTAGGGTTCAAGTTAACACTCAGCACATCTTCTATCATGTATGTCCTCTGGCACCTGGTAACATCTGTCAAGTGTGGCAGAGGGCACAAGGATGCGGACCCCTGCAGCCAGCCCTGCTCTCCCCACTGACTCTGCTGTCCTTCCTGTGCCTGAGGCTCTTATTTCACCGCTGCCCTCCCGTAGGGGCCACACAAGGGATCCTGTTCCTGTCTCTTTTCAATCCTGAGTCTGGAAATGCCTCCTTTTCCTCCTGGCAAGCATAACTGGCTGAAATGTTCAAAAAGTACATTTTCCTAAGATGTTAAAAGAATTTAAAAGTGTAAGAGTGCCCCGTATTGAAAGACTAGGATTAAAGTAGGGGAGCTCTGGAAGTTAAACAAAGCCGCTCAAACTAATAGGTTGAGGTAAGAATGGAATTGGCAACATTTTTGAGACTAATGGGAACCGTCCACCTTCCCAGAGCCTTTGCAGATCTAACCTCTCAGGAGGGCCAGCCTGGTGTGCCCCTGCCCAGCTCCATGAAGCTCTCTGGCTTATATTCCTAGACTTACAAGGCTAGAGAAGAAGAAAGTTCTTGCCTCTGAGGCCTTCAAGCATCCTCACCTGAGCTTCTAACCACAGCACCGCCCTGTGCCCTTTTGAAGGTCTTTATAGCTGTGTCTTAGAATTCCTATTGTATGGCCTCCAGCCCTTAGGCTATCCTCCTGTCCAATTTTCTGTATTTGGACTATGTAGACTAACAGGCCAGCTTCCCCTTAGTGATGGGGAGATGCTTTACCAGTACCAGCATTGTCTAAAAAATGTTAGGGCTCTCAGCTCACCAAAAACAATCTCTGCCTTTCCTGTTTCAGAGACTAGCTCCATCTCTCCACACTGCCTTCTCAGATTCTGTTTCCAATTGGAGGGACACTCTCAACTCTTACTCTTAAAAGCAGCAAAGATGACAGAAATGTCCTGCATAATTGAACTCAAATAACCCTGTTTCTTCATTTTTCTGGGCCATTCCCTGGTTACTCATCTCTCAGATATTTCTAAGGGAGGGATAGAACTATGTGAGCCATTAATTATAAACTGACAGTACATGTTTTATTTTTGTACTACCATTTAGTAAGGTTTCTTATAATATAGAAAGCCATCATGAAGTAGGGCAGTTCATAATCATTGCTTAGTTAGCCATAGTTCTTCTCCCCTCTCAATAAAAGTATGTGATTCTAAGATAATCATGCCTAGCATTTTCTTGTGAATGTTTAGAAAATAAAATTTCTAAGTATATGTGCATACTTCTGCATGACTGCCCTGTATGGCTCTGATTCATTATAACACTGTTAGCCCATGAAATATTTCCTAAAAAAAAACACATATACTTAGCAGTCTGTGCCCATTTGGGGGCATCTGATACCCAATGTAATCAGAGCAGCCATTGCATACATTTTATTCCTTTTCAGTGAGTATTAGTTTCCATGAAGAAGAATTGTCATTGAGTGCTTTCTCAGGAAATCCTACATTGACTTCATTTTACAAAGTGTTTGCTTACTCCGTGCCC